ACAGCACGTAACCCAACCATGCCATGGCCCAGGCAACCGCATTCACCCCCCCCATCCTCCTCCTCGGTCATCACAACCACAACCACAACCACAAACGCAACCAAAAAACACCCCCCCAAAAAAAATGTCCTCACCAACCTCCCACGTCTCCCCAACCCCAGAACTCAGCGCCCCCCCGCGCGCAACGGACCCGCTAAGCACGGGGATAAAATCCCTCCTAGACCCAACCGTCAAGCAAACGACGGAGAAGCTCCTACAAGTGCACCAATCCCAACAAGCCCTCTCTCAGGAACTCGACCGTCTAATCACCCGTAAACCCCCCTTCCTCCCTCCAACCAACGGCGTAAGTCAGTCTGACCCTGGGGTAAGAATTACAGCATTACCTAGACACCACCGATCCACCGAGTCTCCGGCCCACGGTTATTAAACTTGCGAGTACTAGTAAGCGGTTGGCGGCCGTTAATAGTATATATCCTCCTTCACCCCATCCCTGAACTGTATCCCATACTTGGGTTGCTGATTGGAGCGCGGGGGGGGGTTGCAGCGACGCTACAAGCGATACAGTTACGCGTTAATAAATTATATTTGCAATTGAGCAAGCAGCGACTTCCGCACTGATATATAATATTGAGGCTTGGGTGAGACTCTTGCGGGTTTGTTACCGGTACGGTGATGGGATGGGATGGGGTTGCGTGTTTTGTAACGAGCCGGGGGTTGGGGTTGCTTCAGATTGTTCTTTCTGCTCTGGGGGTGTTGGTGAGGGTTAAGTACGGTACTGTACTTGTATTGAATTTTGTTGTATCATAGTCTTTATTACTGATAATGGAAGTGATGGTTGGTGGAGGAAGCAGGCAGGAAGGTAGACTACGCTAACCTACAATCGTTTGTTTGCCTTCATACATCTCGTGGTGTTTTAGCTACTGTACCGCAGTCCAGCTAGACTATCCAGTAGAGCATATCCACGCCCATGCAAGTAATGATGAAGATGACCTCACTCACTCTAACATCTTCAGCCCATCTGAGCCGGGAAACACCTTCACGAGACCTGATTAACCAGCCAACTGATTATACAGTACACTACGGTACTTACCCCCCCAATCTCTCTACCTCCTACCTTCACCCATCGAATCAGCAAAGACCCAAAAGCATTACTTATTTGTTAAAAAATGGGCATATATATAATGTGAAGCGCTATCGATGAGAAGAGTTATAAAGTGCGGTATCATACTGTATGTGAGTAAAGTGAGAGGTGGGAAAGCAAAGAAAACGCAAAGGAGACTCGTGAAAAAAGCAGAAACCATCGCAAGACCTAAAACAGCTACACCAATTCCATCCCATCCCATTCCAATTCCGATTCCGATTCCCCTCCATACTTTGGAAAGAAAAAGGTTTTTCCCGTGAGAAGGAAAGGGCAATAAAATAAGATAAAGAAAGTAAAAAGGAATAAATTTCTCAAGAATCAAAACCCCCCCAAGACCTCCAAACCACCAGTAGGTATTTACTCCGCAAGGGGACCATTGTTCACTTCTGTCCTTCCTTTCAAATCGCTTTTCCCGCAAGTTAAATCGATGGCTTAATGGACGCGTGGTTTAGACTAAGCCCCACCGAAATTTTGGAGGATTTTTCCTTTCCAACCCCATCACACCACACCACACCCCGCGCAATCGCAACTGCCTGCATGCATGCCATCCCTCCCCCTTCCTTGGTTTCCCCCTCCTATGATACCGTATGCGCTCTCCTCGTAACCATCCCCCCTTGTCCTTCCAAAGTCTCGTTGCATCCCTGAAAGTAACTCCATTTCGCAAATTTGAGGGTATCCCAGAAGAGTAGCACATGAGTAAAAAGAAAAAAAAAAGAAAAACACCATGTGAAAAATTATTCATGCAAAAAAGTGACCCCCGTAGAATAGCAATGAGAAAATTTAGAAGAAAAACGCTGCTCAGATACACCAATTTTTTTTCTCTACAAAAGGCATCAAAACGATGCGCAAGCCCATAAATTAATTAAGATAAGAGATCCAGGATCCACGATTTGCTAGATCACTCGGTAGAAACAAAATAACGGACTGGCGCGGAAGATAAAACCGCCTTCCTATCCCAAGAGGTTGACAAAGACAGGTGCAAAGCATAAGGCTGTTATCGGGGTTGAAGTCAGGTTTTTAGTCAATTGTCATTCGGGATGGTATCGGCTGAGCAGCTTGATTCGTCATTTCGGTCATGCTGTGCTTCTCCTCCTCGTCGGTCATCTTCCTTCGGGTGATGTGGGGTTTCAGGCCCTTGTCGAAGTTCATAACGCAAGCGATAGCGTTTGCAATGGTCAAAATGATAAGAATGAGTGTGATCGCAGCTGTATAGGTCAGCAATTTGTGCCACGGCCAAGAAATGCAATCAATACAACGCTGATATAACTCACCAAAAGTGGTCAAACTCCTTTTTGCCGGCTTGTAGCTTTCGACAAAACTGCCATGGTACATCCTGACCAATTTGAAGATGAAGTAAGCCAATGCGGCAAAGAAGATAATAATGATGAACACCATAGGGATCTTCTTCTCTCTCCTTGTGCACCAAGCGGCGAGAACCAAGAAAGCGATGGTCAGGGGTAGGACAGCAATGGTGAGGAAGAATTCATAGTCTTTGTCAGTATTTCCAAGTTTAGAGCCCCCCCCTTTGAGATAGTTCGATGTAGAGGCGACAATGACGATGAACTGGACAGTGAATCCAACGAAGAAGAAGAAATCAAACTTGAGAAGAGCAATGAAGATCTGTACACAGCAAAGGTCAACACAAGAGTCCCTCCACAGAAGTACCTTCAATTAGGAATTGAAGTACCTGGAACTTGAGATATCTCTCCTTCATTTTTAAATCTGCACTGATATGCTTGTAGATGGTCCAAGCGAACTCGTCATACAACTTCCAACAAATGACGCACATCAACACGGTTGACAAGGCGATCACGCATGGAATCGCAATCAAAGACGGTTGAATCACTGGCCAGATATTCTCCTTAATACCCACAGCGTTCGGGTCGGGTCCAACGCCAAGAACGGTCAAGAAAGTATTGGCATCGTGAATCTGATCCATCTGGATAGCAGCGTAGAGAAGCAACGCAGCATTGAAGATGCAAATTCCAATGATCTGAATGGTGTTCTTCAATCTAAGTGCATCGTAGCAAAGAACGACAAGGAAAATGTGCCCAAAGATGAAGAGGGTCAGATATCTGTGAAGCAAACATCGGTTAGAAACATTCTTGTGCCTCATTCTTATCGCCTAAGGATGGGTATCGATAAGTGTAATAAACTTACGTCGGGATAGTTCGTGTTTGTGCTTTCGTAAACTCGTTCTTTGATTTGTTGATAAAGTCCTGATGCAGGTTGTTCTGGAATGCAGCGAATACAAAACTATTCCAAAAGGCCCTCAAACATTAGCTTCAGAGACCATAAAATCGCCTAGAGAGAGAGAAACAAGAGGGGTGCTAGCGGGGCAGCATTGGTTTGTTGTAATGGAGGTTGGAGAAATAGCGCACCCTTCAAGACCCAACACAACACATGATTGAACGATTGCGAGAAGGAGGAAACTCCAGCTCCACGTTGAGGTCGGTCGGTAAAACATCCTTGATCGCATCTGGGGTATTAGTCCACCTCCGAGGAGGGAATTTCTGCTGCTGTCGTAGGGAATTTTGACGGCTTTATCGAATGTTAACGAGAACCGAAAAGTGAACGAACAAAGAAATGTCGAAGAGCCGACCTTCAAAGCGAAGTCGTCGTAGCCCCAGCCGGATTTATTCTAACCCGACTTATTTCTAATCAACCGTTTCTTTCGTCGTTTAAAGGCGCTTGAGAAGCTACCTTCCTTCTCCCGTTGTGATAGAGAGTTTTATTTTTATCCCTGGATCCTATCCCCTATTGCTTGTGTTGATGGTAAGATACAACAATCGGAACAAACGAAACAAACGCAAAAAAAAAACAAGGGGTATGTGAAAAGGATTAATAGAAACTAGCGAGGGACGAGAAGGAAGATCGAACGAAGGACAAAGGGAGCGGAGGGGGGAAGGGAGGGAGAGGAAAGAGCCAAGAGGATACCTTCGTGACGGTCCGGTCGGGAAATGCGAGTTTAGGTTAGGTGAGAGAGGGAGCGTGGGAGTGGAGGTTGCTTGCGTGTTGCTGTGAGTTTGAGCGGGATCGATGTCTGACAGGCCTGCTGATAAATGGATTGGGAGGTGGTAGGGTTTTGAAGGACGGGCCTGGCAATGAGTGACTAGGGTGGTAGTTGTGGAGCCAGAGGGGGGCGTAAGAGATGGGAAATGGAGTGAGAGGAAGTGAGAGTGAGAGAACGGTGCTTTAAGATTGAGGCTAGTATGCTAAGTAAAAAAAGAGAGGTTTGGAGATAGGGTTGCAACAGTAGGGAAAGGGAAAAAAGAAAAGAAAAAGTCACCTGCGTTAGTATGGAGGGCGGAATGTCCTGAAGCACTGTAAACGAGAGTGGAGAAAGAGGAGAGACAGGCTAGTTGTCAGTAATGACCGGTTT